GAAGGAAAGAAGGAAAGAAGGAAAGAAGGAAAGAAGGAAAGAAGGAAAGAAGGAAAGAAGGGCTTGCTTGGAATTTGGAATTTCTGTTGATCCAGTTTAAACATTTACAAATGCTATCATATCAACATTTCCAAGCAGTAAGAGTTTTGAGCTTCTAGCAGTCATTCAGGATTTGGTTTGTGAAATACAGTTCATTGATACATATAAATATATTGATTATAACTGGAAATATGTAATACATTACCCCAACACATGATCTGGTGTTCATTTAATATCAGATCTCCTAGGAAATAACATGGTATCCCAAACTGCTTCTACAGAAGTTACACTCCATTCTCTAAATCTAACTGAATCCTCTCAAAGTTTAAATGGCCTCCTCTTCTTGCAGGCAGATGTGGAAAGGTTAATCCTTAATCTCCAAATAATTGTGTTCTTCCTTTGAAAGACAACTTCTTTCACAAAAACATGACACTGACAATTCATCCAAAATTATCAAGATTATCTAGGAAGTCTTTCTGGTCCATAACATTCTCCTCACCTAGAATTTTTGGGTCATTTGTACCAATTCCAAATAGCAATACAATATTTCAGAGATGGATTTTAAGGATTCCAGAAGGCTTCAATGGAAATAAGAAACAACCAGGAAACTGCAGTATTGAGAATAAAAATTTACAAATGTATAGCATCTCTTTGACTTACTAAGATCCTTTACCGACCTCATAATATTTATACCCAAGAAAAATTTATTGAGAAAAAAAACCCCTAATTTGTCTTCAACAAAGTTATGCTGATGAATCAAAATCCCAGAAATTTAGGAGAAAAAATAGGTCAGTTAGGGAATATTAGTTCATAGTTAGGGAAGTAGAAGTAATATATAGGACAATTACTATACAACTTTCAAGGGCTAGAAAATGGAAATAAATTCATTGTCTAAATTTTTAAGGTGGGTCTTCTTTCTGTTCATTTATGCAGTAAAATGGATCATGTCCTTTCAATTGTCCTACTTGGCATTTTAAATTTCCCACAATAGACAAAACACTATGAGAAATAAGATAAAAATCACTTTAAAAAAACAGAATACATGTATCATTAAGAGAAAATTTTAGTGGCATATGGAAACAAACCACTTTGCTGAGGTTCCCTCAGGCCTTCAGTGGCCTTGCTAATTCCAAATGAATGTGCAGATAACCGCAACGTTTAAGCACATTTAAACTACCACAAATACATACATACATACATACATACATACATACTCAATAGTAACAAGAACTCAGCAAAAATCAGCAAATAATCCAAACTGTAGCCTCCAGTAACAATGTCCAATGGATATTGGTTATAAATATCAGCTTGTTTCCATTCTTCTTCAAGTGGGTCAAAGCATAATGCTTTTGAATCCTTTATGGTAATTTCCAAAATCTGGTAAGCATTCTCCAAATGTGTTGGACTTCAACTCCCATAATTCATCAGTCAGCATGGATTTTGGCAATACTAATTGAGGATTATAGGTACTCAAGTCAACTGTATTAGAATGAGAAAGTCTACTTTATGCAATTCACATGGAGTATACTTAATTTCCTTGTGAAGTTACATATGCTAAGTTATCAATATTGACACTGAACCCAACTTCCCAATATCCTTGGCTGTTCTGCAGCCTATTCAGAGCCAAACCAGGGACATTCTTGCCTTTGCCTGAATTTACCTTAGGACACTCTAGCACATCCCATTTTGCAGGTCTCTCAAGGACTGAATTTTCTTTGTGAAGTGGGAGAAAAACAGGCTACCTGCAAACAGAAAAAGTCACAATATGGTATTATGTATCTGAAGGACAAATGTCATTTCTTTAAGCAGGTGATCCAGAAAGATCCATAAGGCACAAAAACCCAGGAAAAGTACATGCCAATACATTCCAAGATGGAGAATTATTATGGGCCAACTGTATGGGATTGAAACACGTCCATGCGTTTACACCCAGGTATATCTAATCACATAGAAAGCAAGAGTACATCAAAATGCCTGTACCAAAGCTGCAGGTGTTCAAACCACACACAGAAATGCAAATTGTGCATTCAGAGTTCAAAGTTGACATTTTAGATATAGAAAAATGTGTTACGGCTATAGCCAGCTAATAGTACAAAAAAGCCAATCCTTCAGCTGAATGCATATCTCAGAGCTAAAATAAACACCCACCAACAACGCTAAAGCAACATTTGCATTTGTCAGCTCTGATGAAAAAGAGTTTACCTTGTCTTCATAATGGGTGCTGCCACCCCTGAAAAATCCTACAGAGAATAGCTGACTGACATGTTTCTCCAACTTCTTTTTGCTCTGAAGGATTGTTTTCATGCCATTTGTGGCTGGTCAAACCAAGCAAACTTTGGAAAGCTATCTGCAACCGCACATAGTTCAAACAGCATAACTCAAACTAGGCATGGCACAGACTCAGATGCCTCCGCACATTTATCAACTGATCTTTCCATTCCGTGAAGAGATGTTGTTTACTTAACTCCAGTTTAGCTGTAAGGCTAAGAGCTCAAACTAAGTTTAGCCAGTTTGGATAGGGCCTGGTTCTACAAATGAAAAACAAAAGCCAGTGCTTTCTTTACCTTGATTTCCCATCTTTTCCTCTCCAAACTTCTGAACGTTGTCCAGTCAGCATGTAAGAATACACGAGTTAAATTTCTGAAAGAAAATCTAGTATCAGCTGTTACAAATCTAAAGAAATTATACTGAAGTCTGACACTGACCCCACTAGAGACAGATGTTTACTAGAGATAGAAGGAAAATATGGTCTCAGATTATATGGGCTCATCCAATTCAAACTGACACATGGACCAGAATGCATACTGTGATCAAAATCTATTTGGTGAGCATTTTGTGACACAGATGCTAAGAAATAATCTGCATCCAAAATGGAGGTTGGGGAATACTAGATAAAAAAATGCTGTCTGTGGTTTTATTTTTCTTTCTGCAACTGTTGTTTGTCCATGAGGCATACTGCACCAGGAGCTGAAGTGAATGTTATCTAGCTACAGCTTGAGTAACTGGATGGAATATCTCCTTGTTGGGGTCCCTGCACAGCTATTCAGTTACAAAGGTCTTTTTTTCAGGTTTTGGTTGTATTTCTGCCCCTACTGCTTTTCCAGAGTCCCTGGTTATGGGAAAAGCATTGCTGGAAGTGGGCCATCTCAGCATGCCTAGTTTAGGCCCTGACGTCTTGAATGATTCTGATGTCAAAGGCACCAGAATGCCATTCCAGTTTCAGAAGTGTTAAAAACGACTGCTTACATTTCAGGGACCCAAAGGATGGCCAGGGAATTTGGACTTTGCTCCCTTAGTAATAGCTATTGGCAGTGGAAGAAAAGAGAATTTTTAATTATAGCTCCGGTATATAGCAAACAGAAGATCGTGATGGAAATTGAAAGACAGGTTAGTGAACATAACAACACTTTTGCAGCCCTTATGTATATTTATTGGTAACTGAATTTAGAATGGTGTTGTCAGCAAATTTCCAAAAGCTTGTGTCTCCTTTCCTTCAAACCCCTCCTTAAAAATCGAATTTTTCCATTGGTTAAGTCTCATGGCAAATAAAGCAAAACATTAATGTCTTCCCACACTAATCTCTCCATATCCATTACCATTCTTCCCTTCTTTTCTCACTCCTTTCATACACTGTCCATCTTAAACCACAGGCTCATTAAAGTTACCCCATAGCTCTGTAAGGTGCCATGAACATCAATAGCTGACTAATGTGATTGCAATAACAATAATGCTATCTGATTTTCATAAGTACCACCAGTACAGCAGATCCCCATGACTTAATGAACAGTTATTGAATCTGAAAAATTAGAAAGCCTCATTTCAAACCATCAATCAACCATAGTAACATTTAAAAAATGTCACTTTTCAGTTTACTTGTTCAAATAAAATTGAATAATAAATGCTGTTGGTTCCAATATTAATATTTAAAAAACAAACACAGAAGATTCATCTGGAGTATTTTTGCAATTCCAAAACAGGGAACACAGCTTTCTTTATGAGCCTAGGGTAGTTGCTTTCCAATTCATGAATGCCCAATAGACACAGAAAAATGAGCTTAGAGGTGATATTTTAACCAGATGGTCTTATTCAGGTTGTGAGAAAACAAGTATAAAACAGAACTTATAATAATAAAACTAACCATGCCTTTGTTTTTTGTTTTTTCAGGATGACAAGCTTCTACAGTCAATACGCCACTTAAGGATTCAGTTCTAGATCTAAAGTTTTCCTATTTCAAGGGGATTTTGCATGAACTCCTTTAGCCAATATTCTGGCCAAATACCTCTTAACTATATCCTGCTTTACAGAGATTATATTTCACTGCAGAAATGATGGAGAGATTTTCTTCCACTCTTTTTTTCTTTTTAACCTTTCCCTTTAAAATTCTTTACTAAGGAATGTGGATTAATTGCTGGCATATATTATACACAAGAGATTGTGAAGTATACATTTTTGAATCAGGTGGGTGTGGGAGCAAGCTGCTTAACAGAGGGGGAAAAAAGCCCCTTCAATTCGAAATTTCCCAGAATCTGCAAGACCTGGGACACAGTTGTTGTTTCTGCCCTTCCGCTTTCCTGCAATCCAGCATCCCACAAACATTTGGCTTCACTAATCAGAGTTCGGGAGTGAGACTTTGCTTTCTGGGAATTAATGATCCTTCTGAATAAAGCCCTTTCCAGCCCCACCTGGGTCTATGATGGAACCAGAGGAACACAGAAAGCTGCTTGTTACTGAATCTGAGCCAATAGTACATCTAGTTCAGGATTTCTGTGCTAGTCTCCAGGATTTCAACAGCTCTGTAGGAGGAATGTTTCTGAGTCTTATCTGTTGAGCTGGAATGTAGAATGCCCTTGTTTTCTTAAAATGATTTTGGATTTGAAGAGAAGGAAGGCAACAAGAACCCTGTTCAGGCATTCTAATGACTGACATAATAGAGATGACCAATCTCTTTTTAACACCTGCTCACAGAAGCTCTATGAGAGTTCTGATATGCGAGCATTCTAAGTTCTGCATGTGGGACAGGTGGACAGGAAAGTCCATGACTAGAGGAAGCTCCATACTGCGGATTCATCTTCCCTGCTCTTCGCTACATCATCTGAATGCCCAATGGTAGAACTAGTTAACAAGTGGTGAGCTCTTCTTCACTGGATGTGTTCAAGAAGAGGATGGGGATGGTTTAATCTGGATTCCTGCACTGAGCTGATGGTTGGATCAGTGGTGTAACTGGTACATTCCAACTCTAGAGTTCTAACCAACCATTGCCCTCACTGAGTTGGAAGACCCCCTTCACCTCAATTAAGCTGAGACTCAAAATGTCACCACTATCCCTTTCCAGTCTGTGCTAGCTCTCTTGAATTTGGAGGTCCCTAGTCTAGAAAGGATCAGAAGGCACCTGCTAGCCCCTTTTCAGATTAATAAAGGTTATTAAAAGGAATAAGCTTTCAGTTGTAGTTGATGGAAGCTTATGCCCTTTAGTAAAATTAGTTAGGCTGAAAAGGGGCTAGTAGATGCCTTCTAATTTTTGGCCACCATAGACTAGCACAACTCTCCTCCTATGAAGTCCAGAAAGAAAAGAACTTTAAACTTATTCTTTTTGCAAATTGGAGCAAATTGCAAGAGGCAGTTCAGTTTCAGCAGTTCAGTCAGGAATTTGAAGAGAGGAATGAAACTGATTCCTTCAACACCTAGAGAGCTATAATTCTGTCCTGTGCCTTCCTTATAGTTTATCTGACATTTTGACAGTAACTCTTAAGGAATCTTTCCTCCCTTTCTCAAGATTCTGCTACTGCTTATCTGCCAGTCCTGATGGTTGTAGGGGACCAATGTCACACCAGTTTTTTGTCCTCCAAGGACTATCACTTGGGAGATGCATTGGACATAATAGTTCACATATTCTTCCCCTCCACAATATAAAAGTGAATGCACATATCACACAGTTGGCTAAAGACTGGTCTAAGTATTATATTACATCAAAAAGGGGGGGGGGGAAACATTGAAATAAGCTGTGGTGAATAAGTGGAATATAATTACTCTGAATGAAATGGGGAGAGTGTAAGTGAATTTCCTTTAACTCAGAAATTCCTTGTTCTGGCATATTTTCTGTCTGAGCATTCATGTTATTTAAGAAACTCTCATTCAATCATTCTGTATTTTCCACCACTAACTAGGTGGCAGATAGACTTGCCACCTGGCTGTTCTTTTTCTTCCCTCCAACTAATGGACTGGGGCACTTCTTTCTATACCAAGCCAAGAAAAATGAAGTTGTAGCCAGAAGTGCATGAAGTATTTTTAAAGAGGTCTTTAACAAACAGAAATAAATGCTGCATAAGACTCAGATTTAAAGGCACTCCTTAGATTCCATACCTTCTCAGAATTATCTTCTAAATCCTCGCCAAAATTAAAATTTCCATAGGAAGCATCATGAATTACAGCTTCCATTAAACTCTGCCACTTCTTCCTGTTTTTGCCTATCCCTTTTTCCTCCTGGAATTGCTTTCCATCATTTTTGCAATTATCATCTCAAGAACCTCAGTCTTTTCTTTGTCTTTCTTTGTTTCATTTTTGTTTATTGAATAAAAAAAGGCTGCTCCCTTTAAGCCACTTACTCTAAAGTAATCCCATTTATATCACAACAACATTATTTTCAAGTAAGGATTCTGGTTAACAATGTGCAATGTCTGTTTTACTCCCTTACACTGAAGTTTCTCAGGTAGTAAGTGATGAAAAAGATAATTGTCCCAAAGAGAATGCCATCACCATTCAAAATCAAAGCCTGGGAGGCATAGAAATTACTCTAAATGAGAGCAGACATACCCCTCACTTTGCCCAAATCCTCCATCCTCTCAAATCTTGTCACTCATGTAAAAGTCTGTGCTTTGAGTGACAGTTGCAAGTTTTATTGCAAAGATAACTCTAATTTAAGAGCATATTTATCAATCATGGATTTCGATATTCTGCCTACCTCCTAATCTAAATAATGCATTTTATTCCAGTCTTACAAGATATTTTTAACGTAGTATAGCTGTGACAACATATTGGTGATATATCTTCACTGAGGATTTTAAATCTGAGAGACATCCAACTTGCTGTGTGACTTAAAAATTACCCCAACTACTCACATTGATACTTTACTCCAAGTCTGAACAGAACTGTAGCTTTTACAAATCCACAAGTTGCTTGTGGTCTGTTTATTCATTTGAAATTGTGTTCTAATTGCTCAGCAAATAAAAGACAAAGGAAGGAATTCTTGGTTCTTATATGTTCTGCTAATTT